CTGCTGGGAGCAGGGAATCCCCTAGGGGATGATGAGCTACAGCTCCCACATCCTCACACAGACTGTGATAAATGCAGAAACGTGATCACAGCTCCTTCCCAAGACCCCCCCCACAAATCTGGGTCCTCAATCCAGTCAGCGCCCCCAGGAATTCTGCAGGAACTCCGTGGGTTTGAGACATTTCCTGCCTGTCAAACGCTGCTGGAAGGAGCTGGGACTCAGCAGGGGGAGGGAGCTCAGCACCCACACACACAGATGTCATCTGGTGGCAGAATTAGTCCAGCCTCGAGAGCAAGGGCATCAGACCCTGCTGAGAAGGGATCCGGGGACAGAGGGGACACCAGCGTGATCAGAGGGATGGAGCAGCTCTGCTGGGAGGAAAGGCTGGGAAAACTGGGATTGTCCAGCCTGGAAAACCTCCAGAGCCACCTAACTGTGACTTCCCAGTGCCTGAAGGAGCCACGAGAAACGTGGAGAGAGAATTTGGACAGGGGATGAAGGGACAGGACACGGGGAACGGCTTCCGCTGCCCGAGGATGGGATGGGATGTTGGGATGGGAGATTGGGGTGGGGGACAGGGATTGGGGTGGGATACTGGGATGGGGTGTTGGGATGGGATACTGGGGTGGGATACTGGGATGGGATACCGGGGTGGGATACTGGGGTGGGATACTGGGATGGGATACCGGGGTGGGATACTGGGGTGGGATACTGGGATGGGATGCTGGGGTGGGATTCCTTCCTGGGAGGATGGGAGGTGTCCCTGCCCATGGCACCAAGGCTCCATCCACCTGTAAGACACCGCAGAAAACACCTGGAATGAACAGGAACACAGGGCAGGGATCAAACTTATTCATCAATAACAGCAAAAGTGCCCAAAATAGCAGTTTTGGAAGGTTCCGAAGCTACTTGAGAAGCCAGGCCAGATTTGACAAATAGTTCCAGCCAAAGTGGAGAAAATAATTAGAAAAACATTGAAACGTGTCATTTTTAGCTGTTGTTCTTATTTTATTTTTCTTTAACTGAAACGTTTTATTTCGGAAATGATGAAACATTTTAGTCCCAGCAGGATCTTGGAGCCTTTGTCCCGGCGAAACAGGAATGTTTATTCGGTTTGTCACTGGCTGACTGTGTTAAATGTCAGGAGGAAACTTCAGCGTCGCTTTCTGGCGCAAAGCTAAAAATGAAAAACGCACACAAGATTTTATCTGGTGGCACACAGGGCATTAGAAGAGGCCAGATAAAGGGCTGAAGGCAAGCACCTTTCCTGTCCAGATCCTCAGCTCCCCTAATTCCCAACAGACTGAGCCACCAGGGATTAGGAGACCTGCAGGGAAAGGGGCCTGGTGACCTCAGGTGACAGCAGAGCCACAGGAGAAGATTCCTTTTGGGAGCCACCCACGGAATTTGCCCACAACACCCCTGGGAACAGCGGGTTTGTGAGAACCCCAGCCTTGCTCTGGGCTCCTGTGTGGTGGTGAAATTTCTCCTCCAAGCCGTGATTCCAAAGAAAAACTGCTCAGGCTCTTGCTGTTGGGTCTCAAGGCAGTTTATTGTGATTTATCTAAAAGATTTTCTCCTGGGGCTGCTGTGGTTTGCTCACAGCTCAAGCAGAGGCACACACACACCCTGACATCCTCTCTGACTGTGTCTTCTTCTCTCCCCCTGCCCAGGACTGCTGCTCTCTTTTATATGATATATTACATATTACATGTTTATAGTTTTCCCCAATGCCTATTACCTATATTAAATACTGCCTTTCTATCTTTTATATGGTATGTTACGTGTTACATGGTTACAGTTTTCCCCCAATACCCACTACCTGTATTACCAAGTGCTTTTCTACTCTAAACCAATCTGTGAGTGCCAACATCACCAAGAACATGGAGGTGAGGAAGAAGAAGGAGGAAGAACAGGATCAGCCCACTTTCCTCCATCTTAGAACTTCTGACCCCCATGTACAAAGTAAAAACCCTCCTGGACAGGTGCTAAAACCTCTCTGTACAATACTAAAAAAATTTCCCCTCTGTTTTGTAACTACTTTTACTATCCTATCTAACCTTTTGTGACTGCTTCTTCCACCTCCAAGGTTGGTAACTCATTCCATGGCTCAAACCCAAAATCACAGCTGTTTGCAGCTGCCTGCCAGGGTCTCAAATGCTTCTGACCAAGGCCTGGAACCTCCAAAAATGTCTGAGGGACATTTTGAGTTCCCACAGGGTGGATGGTGCTGAAGGCTGAGAGGGTCCAAGGCTGGTGAGAGGTGCCTCCTGGAGCCCCCAGAACCGGGACCTTCCCCTGCTGCCGTGCCCGGGGCACTGGGGACAGCCACCTCCTCTTCCATCAGCACAGCAGCCCCTGCCAAGGGCTCCGCCTCTCCCAGCGCTGGGGCCTCGGGCTGCCTCTAATTTTAGGGTGTGATGAAAAGGTCTGGGGTCTCCTCCAAGCTTTCCCAACAAAGGGCTGAGTGCCACAGCCAAGAGCCCCGGGATCCCCCAGCGCTCCCGCGTGAGCCCAGATGTCCGGTCCCTTCCCCTGCTCCCTCCTGCTTTTCTCTGCCTTTCCCAGCTCCCTCCTGCTTTTCTCTGCCTTTCCCTACTGCCTTTTGACTTTCCCTGCCTTTCCCAGTTCCCTCCTCCCTTTCCCTGCCTTTCCCTGCTCCCTCCTTCCTTTTTCCCTGCTCTCTCCTGCCTTTCCCCGCTTTTCTCTTCCCCCTCCTGCCTTTCCCTGCCTTTCCCAGTTCCCTCCTGCCTTTCCCTGCTCCCTGCTTCCTTTTTCCCCCTCTCTCTCCTGCCTTTCCTTGCCTTTCCCAGCTCCCTCCTGGCTTTCCCTTTTTCCAAGCTCCCTCCTGGCTTTCCCTTTTTCCCAGCTCCCTCCTGCCTTGCCCAGCTCCCTCCTGCCTTTCCCTGCCCACACACTGACAATCCAAGGCCTCATCAGCACGGATAATTCTCCCAGCTCCGGGAAGGCTCCCGGTGATGCGACACCTGCAGCAGGCCCCGAGCTCCAGCCCGCTCCGAGCTCATCCCAAACCCGGGGCCTTGCCCAGACCACGACCTCCAGCTCCTCCAAACACAAAGTCAGCTCTGCAGCCAGCCAGGAGGGACCCGCAGCTGGAAGAGCTTCCCAAACTCCCTGACCCGGAGCCTGGAGCGGCCGATTGCAACCTTTGGGGGTGCACACCCCGATTCCAACCTTTGGGGGTGCACACCCCGATTCCAAGCTTTGGGGGTGCACACCCCAATCCCAAACCATCCCAGCACAGGTTTTTCCTCAGAGCAGATGGAGCCTGGCGTGAGCAGAGACCCCGGCGTGCCCAGGTGGAGGGGATGGAGCTGCTGATTGCAGCAGGGAGGGAATTGGGAGCTGGGCCATGAAACCAGAGAGGGGAAACGTTTCGAGCTTTAATCTTGGAAACAGCTTCCTGATAGGAGATTTATGAGCAATGGGAGCAGCCTCCTTGCAGAAGGCTGGAAGCTGTGCTGCTGAAAGGAGACCGGATAAAAGGGGAGACAACACACGAGGGATGGGTTTGCTCCGAGCAGAAGACAGGAGCCGGAGGTGCCCCCACAGCTTCCCAGCCAGCCCCCCTGGCACTGTGACCAGCAGAGCTGGCACAACATTCAGCACAGCTCCGGACCAGCGTGGCCAGCCCAAAGCTCTCTCCCCACGGCAGCTGCTCGTGGGGCTGCTGCAGAGCCTCGTTTTTTTGGCTAATTCCTAATTCAGACCCCGGGGCTTGACGCATCCGACTTTTGTGTGGGAGCCTGTGGAAGGGGCAGGTTCATTAATCCGTGTTTAACTTGGACCCTGAAGGAGCTGAACTTTTCCTGACTTAGCTCTCGCTGTATCCATATCCCACTTTCCTGTAATCAGCCTTTCCCTTTTTCCTGCCTTGGCCTTTCCCAGTGGGTTGGTGGGGATTGGTTTTCTCTGGAGCTGCTGGAGGATGTGGGAGTGACAGCTCTGGCCTTCCAAGCTCGGTGTTCACCCCACGTTTATCCAGCTCCTCGTTCCCCTGGCTCCTCTTCCAACCTGAAGGGCCGTAAAGATGAAGGAGACAAGAGCCAGCACCTCTCCAAACCTAGCATGGAATGGTTTGGGTTGGAAGAGACCTCAGAGCTCAGCCCTGAATGGCCAAGGACATCTTCCACTAGACCAGGTTGCTCCAAGCCCTGTCCAGCCTGGGAAAGGCTTTTTTGGGAAGCTCATCCAAGGCTCAGCCTCATAAAGCTGCCGAGCCAGAGCCCTGAGCAGGGATTAGATGCAGAAGTCTGACCTCAGCTGGGTGCAGCCAGTGCAAAGAGCTCTGACTTCAGGCTTATTGCCCCAAAAAACCGGCAGTGAAATCACTTCATTCGTCCCCAGAGCCTCGTTTCCTTCCTTCCTTCCTTCCCCCGGCCAAGCTGAAGCTTAAAATAGTATTTTGCATTCCTCATATTTCACTCCAGAACTAATTAACACTCAATCAGCCTCACAGCAGCCTGGCCTCATGGTGCAACCTGCCCACCCTTGGCAGCAGCAGGAGCACCCACAGGGCTCCCAGCTCCTCCCAAGAGCCACTTCTGGAGTATCTGGAAAGAACCGAGCTAAAACAGGAAAATAATTCAAGAATTGTTCAATTCAAGCAATTCAACAATTCCAGAATTCAAGCCCCACGTGCACTTTCACCTCCACCCCACGTGCACACAGGAGTCTGCAGTGCCCAGTGTTGTGGTAATCCCCCAACACCACGAGCACTTCCAGAGCTTCCAGCAGCTCCTAAATTAGGACAAAACCCACGAGTTAAGCTGTCTCCATGTTGGTGCCTCCACGGAGCAGGGCTGACCCCGTGTCCAGCCTCATGGACAGCTTGAACCCAGCTAAAAATTCTGTTTTAATTCAATGCAAGGCGTGGGACGGGAAAGACAGAGCCCATGTCTTGCTGCACTTGGATTTCGCAGCCTTTTCTCATCTTCTCAGCAGCCGAGCCAAGCGTTGAGTCCAACGGGGCTGCGGAGATGACGGAGCTGGAAAGGAAATCCATCCAGGAGGGCTCCAAATCTTCACCCATGAGACATCAGCCCCCTCGCTGCAGCATCTTCCTGGCGCTCGCCGGGCTCGGAGGGGCTGGGGAGCAGGAGAGGTGCAAAGAGAGGCACAAAACACGGGGCAGCCGTGGCAGCTGCAGGGGAGCAAGGAAAGGTCAAACTCTGGTGTCTTTGATGAGTTTGTTTGGTTTTCAGCCCAAATTTCCACCCACGGACCAAAGGCCAAGGCAGCTCAGGAGTGAGAGCTGGCTCAGCCCTTGGCACTGCGCAGGCAGTCCTTGCCTTCGCTGCCTAAAAATAACTCTAAAATGACAAAAAACCATTCCAAGCACCCCCACATTGCTGTAGAGCTTAAAATAACCCTAAAAATAACCCTAAAATGACAAAAAAACCATCCCAAGCACCCCCACATTGCTGTAGAGCTCCATCCTCTCCCCGATAGCAGTGGGAGAGCCAGACACCCCCAAAAACAGGAATTGAAAGAAAGACAGAGCAGCACTTTGTGTGTCAGTTCTAAATTGAACTCAGGGGTCCTCCCAGCCATGGCCACCCTCAGGGGCCACACCACAGCAGCAGCTGCGACCCCCTCACACCCAAAGAGACGCCAAAGGAGCTGCCCAAAGAGTGGCTTTGGGCACTCCAAAGGGAAGCCTGAAGGAGCTGCCACAGGGGACAACACCTCTGCCCGCTACGAGGGCTGCACGACGGCCTTGTCTCCGTGCTTGGGCAACCCTGACGCTCGTGAGGGGCTGTGGGCAGCGCCCGAACCAGCCTCGGAGAGCGCGCAAACGCCTCGAAGAGCGCACAAACACCTCAGCGCACGCACCGCGCTCGGCCGCGGCTCCGCCGCTCTGAGGGGGCTGCTCCGCCGGCGGCCGCTTTTATACCGCGCGCGCCCGGTCACGTGCCCGCCCCGCCCCGCCGCTGACGTCATCGCCGCGCGCGGCAGC